AGGGGCCCAGTCCCCTTCTTCCTGGCATTCCCTGGCCAGCCCAGCACTCTTGATCCTCCACCTATTTCCACACACTACCTGGAATTACATTTGCAACTGTCATTCTTATCATTCCTGTCCCAACCCTACCGTTTAATCGTCAACCATCATGCTGCACAATTCCCCCTCCCATGTCTTGGCCATAATGATGGTGACCTCTGATGACACCTCTCCTGCAGTATCTATGTCCTCCAATGCACCATAGTCTTCTCACCCTCTATACATCAAATGTCTCCCCCTTCCCCATGTCCCTCTGCATTCTATAAACCCCAGCTGAGTTCCCCAACTTCCCTAACAGTGTCCCCTGATTAAACCCCCTTGATTTTTATTTCACTGATCCCTGGGGCTGACTGTGGCCCACCCCACTGAGTGACTTTGGTGGACAGCCCAACTGTTGACCAACTACAGCAGTGACTGATCTCTGTGCAGCTCCCTGGCTGATTTACTATTGATCCCCTCAGAGTTTCCACTGGACCTGCAGCACTGACTGTGGCCCATTCTCCAGCAGTGAAACGCACCTCTTGACCATGCTTCCTCCAAGCAGCTAACTGTGTCCAAACCCCTGAGTCGAGTTTGGATGATGCACTTGTACGATTGTGTCTGTGCTACGCAGCATGGCCAGACAGAAAAGTACTGTCAGCCCTTCAAGGTGTGACTGGGGGTAAAACTGCTAAAAGGCAAGGCAGGAACAAAAACAAAGTTTCTGGAAAAGCTCAGCAGGTCTGGCAGCATCTGTGAAGGAAAAAACAGAGTTAACATTCTGAGGAAGCGTCACCAGACCCTAAATGTTAACTCTGTTTTTTCCTTCACAGATGCTGCCAGACCTGCTGAGCTTTTCCAGCAACTTTGTTTTTGTTCCTGATTTACAGTATCCGCAGTTCTTTCGGTTTTTAAAAGGCAAGACAGGCTTGCTGTGAGTATTAAGGTAGGTACAAGAGGAGTGAGAACTGAGAGAGCAAGAGAGGTGTTCTGAGATCCAGCCTGGTCAAATCCATGAGATGGGTGCCTGATCAAGTGTCCTTGTGGCAACATTACAATGAAAGGTGCCTGTGTGCTCCGAAGTGTAGCATTGAGGTATAGAACTTTGCAGTCAATGCCCAGGGAGTATGTCCTGAGATGTGGTGCTGGCTGTCCAAAATAGAGGTTCAGAGGAGCAAATGTTCAGTTTCTAAGCAGCAAGTGGCTGAATGGGAAACTAAATATACATGAAATGAAGTTAACTATTAATGAGATTTTTACACGTGTTAGTGTATGCAAATTGGCCTCTTGCCACTCACTAGTGAGAATCTTGCCTCCCCGTCCGGCTCTTTGTTGGAAAATGGGACTTTTTGCTTTTGATATCAAGAGGGTCCTCATTGGAAAGCTCACACAAGTTCCCAACTTTCTTGCCATGGCCCACATTCAGGAAGACTCCTCCCCATATCTGGGACAACTCATGGGGGTGGGGGTCAAATGTTTAAAAAGAAAAGTAAAAATGCTTTAACTTTTAAAAGCTTTAATGCTTTGAAGTTAAAGCTGCAGCAGCCCAAAGCAGGTCAGGGGATGAGTTAGGGTTAAGAACATTGTCAACTCAGGGTCTTCCTCCCAGCAAGGTGTGGGCATTGAAGCACTGGGCGTATCTGTTTTGAACACCAGGATGCCTGCAGTTGGGTCTGGGTTCTGCACCTTCAGAAATCCAGGCCATTGGAGATGAAGACCAGCAAGCCGCTCAGGAAGGGCATCAAGAGACCTGAGGAGATAGACAAAGGGTCCATCAAGGAGACATTAACCCTGAGTGCAAAATCTATAGCCAGAAGTGAAGATGCCTGGATCTGACTGAGAAGCAATCTGAAGATCCCTGCAACTCTCTAAGTAGATGGTTATAAATATCTATGCCCTTTGTGATACCTCACAGGCAAGTGCACACTGGTGGTTCACCCATGTGGCAGATGCCCTCTCTACCATTGCTAAACAACACCATAATCAAAACTGGAGCAGTGCAGTCTCAGAGGGCACTGAGTCTGGCACCAGATCGGTCAGGAGGTGCCTGGCTATGCCTTTCTGCAGGCATCTTGGTCACTGTGGTGGTTTCTGTAACATAGCCCTCAGAGAAACATCTGGACTTTGAGGACAGTAAGGCCTTAGAAGGAGACAGTTCATCAGGTAAGAAAGACATAAAATGGGGAGGAGAAGTTAGAGAAAGAGGGAGCTGACGGTGAACAGACAGATGCCCCTTCAATATGATGAGACGAGAAGAGGACCTCCTTCCTCGCCCTCCAGGATGCCAGGCCTCTAGTTTCCCTGTGCCATCTCACCACCATGTCCTGTGGTGCAGTGGCAGTCTTTGGTACACATACACTCCCTAATGACAACAGAAGCTTTTGTGGTGGTTCCCTTGGTGTTTAATACCCACCCCCAATCTGACCCTGACTAGATTTAATTGGACAGAAATCCTGTCTCTATTTAAGGGCTTAACTTGGTCCGTTTCCCACTGGAGGCACATTTTTTACACCAAAACATCCCAGGCTGCTGTTTCCCATCTCCAAGTGGCAAATCCAGCCCAGTTCTCTAATTTAGGTTAACAGAATAAGTCTTTATATTATATGTTCTCAGTACTATTCAGTTATTATTAAACACTCCATTAATTTGGTGAATTGTTCTGGCATTTAGACCAGTGAAATGGCTTATCATTTGTTGAGGAATTGTGGTCAGCATTCTGACTCGTTATTTTTTATTGTAACTGAAGAAATAATTGTCAAAATATTTGCTTGAATAGCCTTCCACAGCATTATTATTGTTCTTATGAAGTACATTTGTTTAAGCTCCTCATTTATTCCTAAATTTAAAAAAAATCTGTTCCAAAAGTGTGTATTACAGCAGGAGTGCATTGCAGAGTTCTGTACTTGAAAATGATATGGCCCAGAATTTGCTGGAGCTTAACTCTCATGGTCTGGCCTGTTTGTTTGACTTGTTTCTACATCCTTCACCTCAGAAACGATTTTCCCTGTGGTGATTCACAGTTCATGGAATATTGGATGATTTGCATTATGAACAGAGTGCAGCGTTCAGATTTTCTCATTATTTTCTCAGTAAATTCCTGCCCAAAGAGTACAGTTGGAGATGTCTGGTTTTTAAAAACATTGAGTAATGCTTAACTTTTTAAATGGCCCAGAACACTCAATAGATCCCAAAGCAATTTTCCAAACCTCTTATCACTGCACTAAGTTTCGTTTCAGGTCAAGCCAGCTGCTTGAAATAGTTTCTCCAAGGGGTTCTTTGTCTATTGCGTGTTAGAATCAAATGAGGAAGTAAAATTATACACAAGAAAAATTTATCAATATAAATGAAATACAATGTATTTAATTTTACATTTCATCACCTATTCCAAAGCAATAAAAGGCTTTAATATATTTGTGTAACTTTTGAAGATGAGTTTGTGTTGAACAGCTTTAAGCCATGACTTAAGGAAATGGGAAACTGAAGAGTACAGGCCACCAGTTTAGGTTTTCTTAGCTTTAATGGTCTTGCCAGCATAAAATATTTTTAAGAAGTTATTCTTCCCAATTAATCAAGATCATCCAGACATAGTCAAAACACATTCAGCACTGAACCAGGTATAACTTGGACCGTTGGTTTGTGATGCAGAATGATACCAACAGCATTGATTCAATTCCTGTACTGACTGAGGTTACGTCACAGACTCCACTGTCAATCTCTCCCCATGCCTGAAACCTGGTGACCTCAGCTTAATACGCCAACACTTGTCTCTCTCTAATACCCAATGATCTGGTAATACTATAGCGGCTTTTACCTTTATTATTCCTTACTGGTGTTTTAAGTTGGAAAGTTTTTATATTTAAAAACCAAAACGACTGCGGATGCTGGAAATCAGGACCAAAAACAAAAATTGCTAGACAGGCTCAGCAGATCTGGCATCAGTTCTGAGGAAGAGTCACTGAACCCAAAATATTAACCCTGGTTTCTCCCACAGATGCTGCCAGACCTGCTGAGCCTTCCCAGCAATTTCTGTTTTTGCTTCTGAAGTGCTTATATTTGTCTAACCATGACCCACCCTTTTCAGAATTAGAATTCTTACATATAATTAGAATTTTTAGAATTAGGTTTTTTGTCACATGTACTCAGGTACAAAGTACAGGAGTACAGTGAAATGTGTACAATGTTGTCACCTAACACAGCACCATCTTAGATACAAAGTATCTAGGTACAAATCTTAATGTACTAAAATAGATGAGGTACAAAAATAGAGAAATAAAGAGAAAGCTAAAAGTTCCATATTACAGTTCTTCATAGTATAAATTAGGAAGATAAAAAATAAAGTTAAAAGTAAGCAGTTATGGAAATACTTTCAACTGTTACAGTACAATGGTTCAGTTACAAGTTCATAGAGAAAGGAAAAATATGGAAGTTGTTATTTTCTAAAGCTGCTATGATCTAGGAAATAACTTTACCACCCTATAATAAACAAAGAAGTGCAGATGCTGGAGATCGGAAATAAAAACAGGAAAATGTTAATATTAACTCACAGATGCTGCCAGACCTACTGAGTTTCTCCAGCAATTTCTGTTTTTGTTATCATCTTATATCTGCGTCATCCCCTGTATTAAAGCAGGCCAATACTTTGCCACTAAATGCAGCTGTTTGCTTTGAAACCTTTAGTGATTGATACATTGAATGTTGTCCCATTCATCTCATGGACCTCAATTAGGAAGACAGCAAAAAGAAAAATAGAGTATGTGCCTTTAATTAAACAAGGATTCAGAGTTAATATGAGAAAAATCTCCTTACACGGTGAAGAACTGAGGCCCCAGAACTGACTTTTGGGGTTCTTCACCTATAATCCCTTTCCACTTTAAAAGTCTCCACTTAATAATTGTTGTGTGTTACTTAACAACCTTTATGTTGTTTAACAATGTTCTTATTCTGAAACTGTGCTGACTGTTTTCTGTTTTCTCTTTCTGTAGAGATCAAATGGCTAGCAACAATACAGCAGGCATAGCACAAGCCAGAAAGATGGTGGAACAACTAAAAATGGAAGCCAACATTGACAGAATAAAGGTGAGAAGCCTATTTTTTGCACTTGCCATACATTGTATAAAATAACAAGAGTTTTTTTCAATTGTCTTTATATTGTTCTTTTGTTTGGTGTGTATTTTTTCTTCAAGCCATGGTGAAGATGATTTCCTATGTTAAATCTTCTGGATAAATGTAAATTGCTGGTGTAACAAGTCTTGAGCTCCTATCACTTCTCATTTGAAATTCCTAGCATTGACTTGCCAAGATTAAAGGAATAAAGTATTTTTACTATAGACAATATATTTCTGAGTCTCTACACTCCATTTTAATCTGTAACACTCAAATATAAAATTTATAGCCTGGGAATTTATTTTCCTGGAACTACGAATCACTGTATTCTGTGAGTCAGAGTTTGAATAACACACACACAGTAAGTAGGTGACTACAGTAAAACGATCCTGTAAAGTGTTAATAGATTCCCTTTTATCGATCTAGTCAACAGAGTAGATGATGCTTATAGACGATGGCAGACACTTATGTTGGATCATCAAATTGCATTTCAACATTAAGTCACGTGCATTTTTCTCTGCAACTGTTTGAATTATTTTTATATTTCCAAGTTTGTAGAAGCTGTATTAAAATGATAAAATCAATATGAGAGAGAAAAAAAATCATTTACACAATTACATGCAGGCAGTATTTGAAGAGAAAAAAATGCAAATTTGGGAACTAGTGGAACTACCAGCAATGGCACAATAGTCGTTTTATTCATATTTTATTTAGTGTAGTCTGTCCCCAGACATTCTTAGTAGGTACCTCTTCTCAGAGCTAGTTTTGCCTCATTTACTAATTCAGTTGATTTTTTTTCCTCATATAACCAAAATATAAAAAAAAACTCTAGAGCTCATGGAAAAGTAATGATGAGAGGTCATAAATCTGAAAGGTCAATGACCTTATCTGCTGTCTCACACTCACTCTATCTCATCTCAGCTCCCACCAAATCTCATGGTCCATTACTTTCGCTACTGCATTCAATATCCAGAAATAAGAAACTGGACCTTGTCTTTACCTATTACAGTTTCATCTCACTTCTTCTTTCCCATTAATATTTCAAAATTATCAAGCTGCTACGTTGATCCTACCATCAGAGGCCCTCTGCCTGAAATGAAGTTATACAAAATGCATTGTTTAAAACAATCAAGATCTATTCAGGCCAAAATTTGCTGTTTCAGCAGGAGTATGCCAAAATGGTCACAGCATAGGCTAGAAACTAAATAATCCATCAAGTACTGACCTTGCCAAGGAGTTTGCTTGAGCTCAGAACTTTTACGAAGCTACAGATCTTCACGGATCAGGCTAATGTTAGGGCAGCAGTGAGAGGATAGTGGCCAGTATTGGCCAAAGAGAAATATCGCAACATGACGAGTGACGTTCGCAGGATTCATATTGGGGTGAAGAAGTCATATTTTATTTTGTATTCCTCTACCTGCTGAGGAAGCTGTTGGAGGCAAAACCTAAAGTTTCAGGGAAAGGGAGATGACAACCTCCCACACTTTGACCAGATTACATCAATGCACTCATACAAGGAGACTTTCTACTGATGCCCATACATTATGATGGCAGCTGCAGGGGCTGAGACCTTCAGTAGTCACATCTGCTGTTTTTCAGGAGCATTGTAATTGTATTTCATCATATGGGTCTGAATGATGTTAATCAAAAGCATAGGAGATTTATTCTAAAGCATAGCATGAATGCACTACAATACATTGACTGAATGCATTACAAAGGGAGAAATGAATGTGAGCGATAACCACAACACAAGGTCCAACATCAATGTTCTATGATAAAATAAAGACAGAAAGTGCTGTGGAATCTCAGAGGGTTCGGTGGACAGAAACAGAGTTTATGTTTTGAGTCCATTGTGATTTCAGAATGCTCATTTTTCTCCACTTTGGACCTGCTGAGCTTTTTGAGTGCTTTCTGTTTTAATTTCAGATCTCCAGCATCAGCAGTATTTTGCTTTTATATCAATAGTTCTGTTGTTGTTCACATGACAAATGTGGCATTGATAGGGAAGTTGCTCTAGCTGTGCTCCTCCACGGCATTTCAAACTAGGGGCAAACGAGTTCATTCCAATAAAAAATAATGAAGTATTGTAGATTGCACATCTTAAGTTCAGTGAATCACAGTTTCATTTTTAAAATTATAGCTATGGACAGAAACCACTCAACTACAGAAGCTGCAGAAGGGGAACTCCAGCACTTCGACGTGATCTATTAGAAGTCATTTTTGGTCATGAGTGTGAAAGTAGAACTTCTTTTAGTAATGTCTAAGAGTCATATGATGATTAACATAAAACAATTCCATGAAATATCTTCTGATATAATTAACAACAATTTTATAATCATCTTTGTAGGCTAAGCTTCCTAAGTTGCACAAACAGCCTCACTTAAGAGAGTGAGCAGCCATGAAAGGGTATTGCCTTGCAAACCACTTCTGGGAGATGGTGAGAGAACCTGTGGATGACTGATATATGTTTCCCTCTGAGGAAGCAGTTTGTGTGCTCCCTCAATTACATGGTCAAAACCAGTTACTGCCATTAAAGGAAACTGCAAGTAAAAATCTCCATCTTTGCAGTCTGTGACACAAACTCTGAGCCAATTTAATAAATCCTTGAGTGAAACAACTTCAATCAATATGGAAAGGACAAAAACAGTTTCCAAAGCAAAACTCTGAGATTCTGGAAGTCTGAAATTAAAAAAAAGTACTGGAATTACTCAGCAGGTTAGGCAGCGTCTGTGGAAAGAAACAGTTAATACTTTAGATCGATGACCTTTTATCAGAACTGAAGAAAGATTGTGGGCTGAATCTGACTATCTTGGGCTAATTGGGAGTTGCAATGAATTTTCTGGAGAGGTTTTAGCTGTGAGGCCTAGCAGGTTTTCTCACTCTATCTTACCAAACATGCCTCCGTAACAGTCTACCACACCCCTCAGGCACCTCTGCACCAATTCCAGCCCCATCTTATCACATACTTTTCCTGGAACAACTCGCTGTTCAGTTTTATTTTGGAATTGACAACCATACCTGGTGATGCACCATCTTTAAAAGCCCATTGTATACCCGGATAAGCACTATCGGTCCAAAGTTGTCCCATATGCTTCCTGAAATTTGCCCCATACATAGGCATGGGGAAATTGGTGCCGTCTTTGCAAGCAGGGACCCGGAGATCCTGGGAAAGGGGGTGGTTTAGATGTGGGACTTCCTCACGCCATGGGACTAGCAAGGGAGTTCATGAGACCACACCATGCCAACCTGGTGTGAGGTTGCCACATGTGTCAGTGCAGCCTTCTGGAGGAATCCATAGAAACGTAGGAAGAAGGTCAATGACCTTCTCCACTTCACCTGTGTAAGTGCCACCTTCTTACCTCTTACATCTCACATACACTTTATCTCTGCTAAGTATCCTCCTTCCAACAAGGCTCATGCTCTACCACTCTCACTGTCGCCTGTAACATCTTCGCTCCTTGCTCATACCCACTCCAAGCCCTGGCAGCACTAACCTTGCATGCCCTCTGCACTCAGGACACCTCCCCACCTATGCCATAAGTAAACATGGTGTCACCCACTTTCATCTTCCTTAATAGCTGCCTTTCTTTGCTTTCCAAAGAAAGCAGCCCACAATAGGGTAGAAACAGTCAAAACAGGTGGAAGGCTGCTTGAAATTTGCCTCCTCACCCATTATGTGGGCAGCATCCTGATTCTGACCAACCCGAATGGCTGGCTGACTGACTGTAGCCAAGATCCTGAACTGGTATAGCATACTATGCCAGGACTCCTGGTCAAGGGCCACTTCTGTTGATTTTTCTGAGGCCTGCTGACAACCATATTGAATGTCTTGTGTCTGCACTAAGTGGAAAGGCAAGACAGAAGTAATGTGAGCTTGATATCTCTGGCTAGGGAGGGGGCAGGCAAGGCATTACAAAGCTGTGAGCATCTAGATAGGCTGAGAGTGAATGAGCACTATGTAAGTGAGCAAACACGCCGGCAGTGCAGCCTGAACTATTCTGTGAGCTGGGTGAGTGTACCTGAACACCCAGAGTGCAACATTGCAGTGATTGTTGCCAGTACAGTCCAAGGTGCAGCATTAAAGTGCAGAAGTGACATGTAAGTGGATTGGAGATGTGCCATGAGTGTTCCTAGAGGCTGGCTCATGTCACATGCAGTGTTTCCTCTCACCACGCTGAGGTTCCTCTGAGATTCCACGCACGCTGGTTGACATGTTGACTCATTGACTTCTGGTTTTGACCTGATAAAATAATCTGAGGGAACATTGGTTGATGCCAGTCTCTGTGGATGTGGGGTGCATATGGCGAGTGCCCATGGAGTGTGCCCCAGGATATTGGTGTCCAGCGTTCAATGCAAAGGTCCTTTGGAGGTGAACTCATAAGGTATCCACCCCGATTTCCATAGCAAAAATTCTCAACATTTTAGCTTGTTTGGTGCATTTGGTAAAACCTGAGTATTAATGAGGTGAATTGTAGCATTAATAAGATGTTTAACAAACTATAATCCAGCTTAGATGGTAGCTTGCTGCTGTCGAACAAAAAACTTGCCTCCCAGTTGACAGATGCATAAAACATGCAGAGAGTTGCTCCTAACTCAGAGATAATCGTCACTGGATTGGCGCTTCTCCACAAATCTCACCATAGCCCACTCATAGAATCATAGAGTATGGAAGAGGCCCTTTCGCTCATTGAATCTGCACCAACAAAAACCTACTCTAAAATCTACACTTTGTAGCACTGCACTCGTGGCCTTGAATGTTATGACAGAAGTTATATTCTACAGTTGTTGAACTTAATTTTGTCCAGAAGTCTGTTAAGTGCTGAGACCAAGAGATGAGATGCTGTCCATTCAGGTGCTTTGTTGTAGTACGCCATTGACAGTAATCTCAGAATGGGATAAAGGTGGAAGATATAGTGTTCCAATGATTAATATTCAGATGATCCATTTCCTATCATTTACTGTGTCATTTTCTTTCATTTTAATCATGCTGGTAAAATAACTGGCAGACGGTTGCTAGACATTTACTGAACAACAATAACTTGAGTTCTCTCTCATTTCTTAACTGACGTGAAAAACATTGAAGAAAACAAGAGGTGAGAATGGGACATAATTTTGCTGCAAAACAAAAATAAAAACTAAAGCTATTTCTGATCTTGAGGTATTTCTGAAGTGTTGAATAATATTATCATCAGATTAGTAAATGTTTTCAGACTTCCTGTCCTGAAAGTATTAACTCTTGTCCAGTTCCAGCGGTGCTGGCAGTGAGTGTTGGCAAATATGAGACCTTAGAGGATAGTGAGTCATGTTGATCCTGTTTCCACTCAACATTCACACAAACATTTTGTCAAAGCATAGATGGCCATTAGTCGAAGTCTTAGTTGATTTTTGTTCCTCTTCAGACAGAGACAACTGATAAAATTACAGTGCACAATTCACGTCTTTTCTGAGGTCAACTAAACCCAGCAGTTTGGGAATTATAGATGGACGCTTCTATCTGGGTGACTTACTGTCGTGTTGGATTGTACTTCTACCCATAATGCCAAGAGCTGAAACTGGACGTCGTCTTAATGTGGAGGGCTGAACAAAATAGATGACTATATTCATTCTCTTTAGCATTCGGTTACACTGTAATATTCCTTTATATTTCTAAAGTTACTACTTTCTGTCCTTTCCAGCTTCAGGTTTGTACTGTTCCATTAATTGCTTCGTACAGAGACCACAAAGAAGTACACTTTATTTTACAAGAAACTGAAGATTGGTTTATAATTGCAAATGCAATGACTAAGTCTGTGCATCAGAGGTCTTGATAAACAAACTTAGCACAGACCATTCGTCTCCTTAAGCTTGCTCTGCCATTCAGTAATATCATCGTTGATCTACTTACTCCACATTCTCACCTACCCCTGATAAACTTAAAAATATTCAGACTCCGCTTTCCTCATCTTTTGATGACAAGAGTTCCAAAAACTCATGACTCTGTCTGAGAAAACGTTTTTTCTTACCGCTGTCTTAAATGATTTTTAAACAGTGAACACCCCCCCTTGGCCAATTCAAGATTCACTCACAAGAGGAAACACCCTTTCCACATCCACCCTGTCAGGGCCCTTCAGAATCTTAGTGAAATAACTCCACAGAGGCCGATATCCCACTCTTGTCACCAAGGCACCCTTTATTCATACGTCAAAAGTCCTTGACATTGGCCCAGCTTCCGCAGAGCCAGCTATCAAAATGTCAGGATGTCTGACACCCCTGTTTATATCTGTCAGCCAGAGATCCCTGATTGGACCAGATAAACAGCCCCAATCAAGGTAATCATATTGTAGGAGGTCCACCTGGCTGACCTCGTTACAATCAATACACTTTTCTCTTTCAAATGCTCTCTTTTCTAAAATCCATTGGATAGAATCCCAACTTGTCCAACCTTTCCACATAAGACAATCCACCTATTCTAGAAATTCGCCTAGCAAACCACCTCTGAACTACCCACAGTTGTCAACAATATAAATGATTAATGGGCCTTGGACCCCCTAAATCATTATAATTTCCCAATATATGTATTATCTGCAAATTAGACTTGACTTGAATTCACCATAAGCCAGTCATTTGACTTTCAATGCAAGAGCAAAATACAGTACATGCAGAAGCTCTGAGATAAAAGCAGAACATGCAGGAAGACCTAATCCCATGTGGCAGCATCTTAATGGTGGAATTTAATTGTCATGCTAGTGGCCTGTCCATAGGCTAGAAATTGGTAGCTAGCTCCATTGTGGCCATTTTTAGCCCCAACCCAATTTAGCATCCTTTAGATACTTGGCTGTGGGCTCCTAAACACATAGCCCCATACCTTTTGGTATGGAATAGCTCTATCTCATTTGAAGTTAGGTTCAGTGTGTAATCTAGCTGCTTAAACTTTAATTTGAAAGCTGAAGGTACCAGAATCTAAAATGTAATTCTTGCAAAGGTATAACATGTTTGTACAGTTTCTTTGTCCCACTAATTTCAACCTAGAATAATTCAAAGAACTGGTAATAACATTCCATTCTCAAGTCAGGACATTCCATACTGCCTCCCAACAAATTAAGTATTTTTGAAATGTAATCAGAACGTTGTGCAAAATCAAGTCCCCATAATTAGCGAAGAGGTAAATAGGCAAAAAAAAACCCTGTTTTTGTAATGTTGGGTCAGGAATAAACTTTGATTAAAACAAATCCCCTGCACTTTTTCAAACAAGCTTCTTTTGACTCCAGCTGGATGGAAAAAGAGAATTCGATTTAACATCTTATCTGATAAATCACACTGTGAGTGCAGCACTCCCTCATTACTGCTCCAGAAAATCATTCTGGATCATATGCTGAAATGTTAGAAGTGGCACTTCTAAGAGGCAAATTGTTGCTGCTGAACCAAGGTGTTCTGCATGAATGTTACTGATTTCCCACTATCGCAACATATTTTAAAGGTAAGGCTGTGGCATTCTCTGGTGGAGAAATTGGCAACTGACTGAGTTTTTCTTTTCATTGGAAGTGATCACTTAATTACTCTCAGCCTAAAAGTAAAACTGAAAAAGCCTAACTTTTATCTTCTTATTCAAGGTATCCAAAGCAGCAGCAGATTTGATGGCTTACTGCGAAGCCCATGCTAAAGAAGATCCTTTACTGACACCAGTTCCTGCATCGGAAAACCCCTTTAGAGAGAAGAAATTCTTTTGTGCTGTCCTGTAAAGTCTCATGCAGCCTGAAAATCAGGCTGTTCTGAACAATGATGTTGAATTTTACTAATGTGGACACCTTTCTGTCCACAGAATTTTTAGCAAAGCCTGGAAGCTACAGGGATGTGCATGTTTAAAGAATCTTGTCAGCTTATTGGGAATGGAAGCAGAAGAACTACCTTGTGAAAATAGAGATTCTAAAACAGCTTAGAATGAAACAGTGTAGAGATGTGTAACATTTTTTGCTCTTGCAAAGACCATAAATTATGTTTGATAGTTTGATGTCTAAAGTATGACAGTTGTTCTAAGAAAGGTAAATACTGAGGATAATGTATAATTTTATTGGAATGATAATTGTTGTTCTTCAAAATAATTTTAATTTAAGTGGCAAAAGTATACAAATAAGATAGATTACTGTGGTGTTGTACCTTAACATTTGGTTATGTGCTTTTTGCATTAGAGTAGCACAATGATATGCTGGACTTTGCTTTGAGAGCTGATTTTCAAGGAAGAGAAATGTTACTAACAAGCATTTGGCAAATGGAGTGTCATTTGCAAACCATCAAAGCTGGCAGCTTGTGTATTTTCTTAAACTCTTAGTGCTCCTCCAACATTTGTGTATAGTTGCTTATAGTTTCTGCTAGTACACGTAACATGTGCTATTTAGTGATCCTAATATTTGTGATAGCAACAAAAGAATTGCATGGAAATGTTCCAGCCGTTTCTCTTTTAATTGATTTTAGTTTAGATGATCAAAAATGATGCAATGTAAATATATAGAACACAAGGTTTTAATTTCAAATTCTAACTGCTAATGAAGCACAGCCTATTTCTTAACAGCCCTGTTCTCTCACTAATGCTTGTGAACACTATACGAAATATGTGTCATTAAACCATTTATATAAACAGTTTATACCAAATTAAACATTGTAATATAACAAATGTTTTACTGGAAGTAAAACTTGCATGCAAACAGTAGTACATAGACATACATGACAATGTTTGAAAAGCAAGACCAATTGTCAATAAGTAGCTTTGTATACAAGGAACTGAAAAAAAGACCAGTTGACAAAATTTCTATTAGTTCGTAAATTTAACAAAATTAAGCAATTTTAGAAACAAAAAGAATTCATCCCTTAATGCAATCTTTCTGTGTATGTTTTTTACCCAACTCAAACAGCAGTAAAGATTATTGGACAGTGTAATGTGCAGATGAACAAACAGGTCTCAACTTCTGTGAATAATCAGATAATTTTACCTCAGACTGTTTCACCGCCTTTTAACAAACATTTTTGATATTTTCAGATATGTATTTTTACTCAATTGCTAATTTTCTTAGATCTGCATGTACCAACATCTGCCATTACACTGCCAAACAAGCCCTCTGCTTCATTCCCAGTTCAAATCAAAGGAGTGACTTACCATTGTATTAGACCCATATTAGCACAGAAGAGTAAGAGTTATCATTGAACAAATACATTAACCAAAGTAGCTACATTGAAAACATTACAAAATAAGAAAGACTGACATGTATGACTATGGCTTGTTGAGCTAAATTTTCTCTAAATTGTGTTCATGGCAGCAGTGAGTTGTAGTGCCTAAATGAGTGTCCAGGAATGCTAATCTGATAGTGAGAATAAAAGGGATGTGTGAATTTTCTTAAACTGAGTGCATTGTAAAAATGTGTATTGTATTTCTGGTTGTATACCCTTGTTAGCTTTGTATAGGGAAATTTGAACAAAGTCTGATGTATTGCACATTTTCATGCCATGTGAACAATGTATCAGTTTTAAATAAAACCTTCAGAACATTTCACTTACAATAATTTTGAACTGTATTATGAATAATATACTTCATTAATAAATGCAACATTAAGGGGGAAGATTAGAAATGGTGCTATTCCTCAAGACATTCATGCTACCATAGTAATGCACTGGATGGTGTCAAGCTTCTTCATTGTTTTTGGAGCTGCACTCATCCAAACAAGTCGAGAGTGTTCCAACATGACTCATGCCTTGTAGATGAAGGACAGGCAACATGGAGTCATAGTCCTGGAGTTATACAGCACGAAACAGACACTTCAGACCAACTCATCCATGCCAACCAGATATCCTAAACTGATCTAGTCCCATTTGCCAGCATTTGGCCCATATCCCTCTAAACCCTTCCTATTCATGTACCCATTCAGATGCCTTTTAAATGTTATAATTGTACACACCTCCACCGGCAGTTTGTCCCACACATGCACCACCTTCTGCATGAAAAAGTTGCCCCTGTTCTTTTAAATCTTTCCCCTCTCACCTTACACCCATGTCCTTCAGTTTTGGACCCCTACACTGGGGAAAAGACCTTGGCTATTCCCCGTATCTATGACTCACATGATTTTATAAACCTCTGTAAGGTCACTCATCAGCCTCTAACCGTATGGGGAAAAAAAGCCCAGCTTAGTCAGCCTCTTTCTATAGCACAAAGCCTTCAATCCTGGCTGTATCCTTGTTAATCTTTCTTCAGAAATGGGAAAGGGGAAGGGGATTCTGAAATAAATAGGGAGAGAGGGGGAGGCGGATAGAAGATGGATAAAGGAGAAGATAGGTGGAGAGGAGACAGACAGGTCAAAGAGGTGGGGTTGGACCCAGTAAAGGTGAATGTAGGTGGGGAGTTAGGGAGGGGATAGGTCAGTCCAGGGAGGACGGACAGGTCAAGGAGGCGGGATGAGGTTAGTGGGTAGGAAATGGGGGCACCGCCAACGTCGCTCTGCCTACTGCCGACGTCGCTCCGCCCACTGCCTCCACAGCCAGCAGCTCCAGAGGAGACTGTAGCACCCAGCCCTGCCGGGTCTTCACTGGCCCCACAGACCTCCCCCTTACTGAGGACGAACGGTCAGTCCTCAGTAAAGGACTCACCTTTGTCCCCCTCCACCCAAACATCGAAGAATACAACTCACGTTTGGACATTGAGCTGTCTTTCTGCCACCTCCGCCTCCGCGCTTACTTCTTTAACCGTGAGCCTAACCCTCCCTCTACTGACCCCATCTCCCGCCTCCAACACACCCCCTCCTCCTGGACACCACCCCAAGGCCTCCTACCCTCCTTTGACCTCTTCATCTCTAACTGCCGTCGAGACATCGATCGCCTCAACCTGTCCGCCCCTCTCACCCACTCCAACCTCTCCCCCACAGAATGTGCAGTCCTCCGCTCCAATCCCAATCTCACCATAAAACCCAAGGGACAAGGGAGGCGCAGTTATAGTATGGCGCACTGACCTCTACATCGCCGAGGCCAGACACCAGCTCTCTGACACCTCCTCCTACCACCCCTTTGATCATGATCCCACCCCTGACCACCAAACCATCATCTCCCAAACCATCCACAACCTCATCACTTCAGGTGACCTGCCACCCACAGCCTCTAACCTCATCGTTCCCGAACGCCGCACCGCCCGCTTCTATCTCATTCCCAAAATTCACAAACCTGACTGCCCTGGTTGACCCATTGTCTCCGCCTGCTCCTGCCCCACCGAACTTATCTCCACCTATCTCGACTCCATTTTCTCCCCCTTGGTCCAGGAACTCCCTACCTACGTCCGTGACACCACCCACGCCCTCCACCTCCTCCAAAACTTCCAGTTCCCTGGTCCCCAACACCTCATCTTTACCATGGACGTCCAGTCCCTATACACCTGTATTCCCCATACAGATGGCTTAAAGGCCCTCCGCTTCTTCCTGTCCCGCAGGCCCGACCAGTCCCCCTCCACTGACACCCTCATACCCTTAGCTGAACTCGTCCTCACCCTCAACAACTTCTCTTTCAATTCCTCCCACTTCCGAAGACAAAGGGGGTGGCCGTGGGTATCCACATGGGCCCAAGCTATGCCTGCCTCTTTGTAGGATATGAGGAACAATCCCTCTTCCAAAGCTACTCTGGCCCTATCCCCCACCTCTTCCTCCGTTACATTGTATCGGCGCCGCCTTGTGCTCCCACGAGGAGCTCGAACAGTTCATCCACTTCACTAAGACCTTCTACCCCAACCTTAAGTTCACCTGGACCATCTCTGATACCTTTCTCTCCTTCCTGGACGACTCTGTCGCCATCTCTGGCATCCACCTGGAAACCGATATCCATTTCAAGCCTACCGACTCCCACAGCTACCTAGAATACACCTCCTCTCACCCATCTTCCTGCAAAAAGGCCATCCCCTATTCCCAATTCCTTCGCCTCCGCCGCATCTGCTCCCAAGATGAGGCATTCCACTCCCGGACATCCCAGATGTCCTCGTTTTTCAAGGACCGCAACTTCCCCTCCACAATGGTCAAAAATGCCCTCGACTGTGTCTCTCGCATTTCCTGCAACTCATCCCTCACACCCCCTACCCGCAATAACAACCAAAACAGAATCCCCCTCGTCCTCACGTACCACCCCACCAACCTCCAAATCCAACGCATCATCCTCCAGCACTTCCACCATCTGCAATCTGACCCCACTACCAAAGACATTTTTCCCTCCCCACCCTTAACTGCTTTCCGGAGGGACCACTCTCTCCATGACTCCCTTGTCCTCTCCACACTCCCCTCCAGCCCCACCTCACCCGGCACTTTTCCCTGCAACCAGAGCAAGTGCTACACTTGCCCCTACACCTTCCCCCTCACCCACATCCCAGGCCCTAAGAAGACCTTCCACATCAAACAGATGTTCACCTGCACATCTGCTAATGTGGTATACTGTATCTGCTGTTCCCGTTGTGGCCTCCTCTACATCGGGGAAACCAAGCGGAGGCTAGGGGACCGCTTTGCGGAACACCTACGCTCAGTTCGCAACAAACAACTACACCTCCCAGTCGTGAACCATTTCAACTCCCCCTCCCACTCCTTGGACAACATTTCCATCCTGGGTCTCCTGCATTGCCATATTGATACCACCTGAAAGCTGCAGGAAGAGCATCTCATATTTTGCTTGGGAACCCTGCAGCCCAATGGTATCAATGTGGACTTCACAAGCTTCAAAATCTCCCCTCCCCCGACCACATCCCAAAACCAGCCCAGCTCGTCCCTGCCTCCCTAACCATTCCTCCCATCTCAAGCCGCACCCCCATTTCCTACCCACTAACCTCATTCCACCTCCTTGAACTGTCCGTCCTCCCTGGACCGACCTATCCCCTCCCTAACTCCCCACCTACATTCACTTTTACTGGCTCCATCCCTGCCTCTTTGACCTGTCTGTCTCCTCTCCACCTATCCTCTCCTCTATCCATCTTCTATCCGCCTCCCCCTCTCTCCCTATTTATTTCAGAACCCCCTTCCCCTCCCCTATTTCTGAAGAAGGGTCTAGGCCCAAAACGTCAGCCTTCCTGTTCCTCTGATGCTGCTTGGCCTGCTGTGTTCATCAGAGGAACAGGAAGGCTGAATGTCCAGAGGCGATGGCCAGACTCTTGTTGGAGATGGTCATTGCTGGCAACTTATGTGTCACACTTGCCATTCATCAACACATATTGGATGTTGTTGCACATTAACACAAGATGCTTCAGTATCTGAGGAGTCACAAATGGTGCTGAACATTATGCAATCATCAATGAAGATCCCCAGGTTTTTTTAAAAAATTTCATTCTTGAGATATTTATTTCCATCCCTAATTGCCCAGAGGGAAGTTAAGAGTCAACGTTTTGGATCTAGTGACCCTTCTTGAGAACGTTTTGATGAAGGGTCATTGAACCCGAAACTTTGACTCTGTTTTCTCTCCACAGATGCTGCCAGACCTGTTGAGAATCTCCAGTAAATTCTGTCCAGTTTTTTTCCTATATACAAACGCACAGACAGAAAGACAAAAAGGTATTTCAGCTATAACACGTATTTCATTAATGTGAATTGGCTGGAATGTGTTTGATGAATATGGAAGCTGTTTGGATAACTTGAACTTTCTACTGTACAGTCTAGTGATTTTCTAACGCGATTTCCCCATAATGTGATTTTCTATAGCACAACTTTCTATAGCGTGAGGATGCGCAAGATTGCAACAATCGTGTTATAGGAGAAATACCTGTATACTAACCGGATCAAATTCAAAATCCTGGGAAACACTTCAATGGCACCAGTCCTCAGGACTCAATGGAACGTTTCGTTCGTTTCACAATCCTTCAGTTCTTTTATCGTTTCCTTCAGGTTCTCTCACTTCTTCAGAGGAGACACAGAATGACTTGTTCATGAATTATAAAAATTCTTACTTAGTGGATAAAAACAACAACTTCAATCAACTCATAGGAGAAAATAAACTGCCTTTCTCCAGGCTTCAGGTATTTTACTGGAGAGACACAACATCTGTTTTTTCAGCAGTCTGAAGGTTTCTGCCAGTATCATTCACACCCACAAGCTGTTCAGTTACTCAGGAGCCAATGAAGTAGGTGTTGTCAGGCTGATAGTCTTTGGCATCCACAACTGGTCACAATTCCACAAATCAATCAGCGATCTGTTGCCAGTGAAATCTTGCTTTGTGTACAGACCCCTGAGTTGTGCCAAATACAAATGTCTTCTCACGCTGCTTGTATGAAGCAGCAGTGTGAACACAATAAATTTCAGAAACTCACTTTTTAAAATGATAGCAATTCCTTTTTCAGTTTTTTATTGCAAAACAGTCCTTTTCCCAATTCACACAAATCAAAATCACAGTAAATTGAAAAGATACAATCTTTACAAGTGTCAGTAGTATTGTCAGAATATTGTCAAGCAAACAACATTTGTCGACAAGCCCTTCCATCACATTTCTGACGATAGAGAGTAGACTCATAGGATGGAAATTGACTGTGTTGCTTTTTGTGGACTGGTCATACCCAGAC